AAGTGCACAAAGAGTGGGACATAGTATCTGAAAGAGCACATCAAGTATTTGAGCTGGTTGGTAGTCCTTGCGGAGTAATGCAACAAAGATAAATGGATGATTAGAAAAATTTAATTTCAGGTTTGCATACAAATTACAGATTTTGGGAGGGACGGGCAAAGTTAAGCGGACAGAGAGAGAAAGAGGACCTCTGTTTTCATACATATCCGCTCTAACGCGCGCGCGCACGTGTGTGTTTGTGTGAGTGTAGATGGGTGCGTGTGGTCGTTTGTAAAATTCATACACAAGAATTTGGATAAATAAGAAGAAATACAAATAAACATACACACACACACACACACATACATATATATATATATATATATATATTAAATGGTGCAGTATAATTAATATTACAAAGACGTAGTCATACAAAGGATAAATCAGTTAATGTAATTAATGGCGAATTCACTTCGCTAACAGATTTAATAAAGCATTAACTTACTAACCACTCGTTGAAAAAAAAAAAAAATATACCCATGCCTGATGATGATAATAAGAATTATCAAAAGTACGCAACATACGGAACATCTAATCCATTTTAAATAAAAGGATCGCTTACTTCTTTGTAATATATATATATATATATATATATATATATATATATATATATATATATATATATATATAAATTTATGATAGGGATAATTCCAAGTAGGATATTAATCCAGGGAGAGCTCAATGTAAAGTAGAATGAATAATAATAATAATAATAATAATAATAATCAAGAAGAAAAACCTAAAGATTCAATTCGGTTATAATTTATTTCGTGAATATCTATATATTCATCTCTTCAGACCGAAATCTTTTAGTAAATGGAGACAATTCCCCGGACTCTCTCTCTCTCTCTCTCTCTCTCTCTCTCACTCTCTCTCTCTCTCTCTCTCTCTCTATATATATATATATATATATATATATATATATATATATATATATATATATATATATATATATATATATATATCCACATTTTTGTGACTAGTAAGGATAATTTCAAAGAGGAATCCAGAGAGAGTTCAATGGAAACTACAGAGCATTATAATAATAATAATAATAATAATCAAGAAGAAAAACTTAAAGATTCATTTCGGTTATAATTTATTTCGTGAATATCTCTATATATTCATCTCTTCAGATCGAAATATTTTATTAAATATTTTTAATAAAAGATTTCGGTCTGAAGAGATGAATATATAGATATTCTTCTTGATTATTATTATTATTATCATTATTGTTATTATTATTATTATATGTATGTATGTATGTATGCATGTATATTATATATATATATATATATATATATATATATATATATATAGGTACACCTAAAGATTCGCTGAAAATAAGTATACATGATGAAAAAATACCCCAAACTTAATAAAAACAAAGTTTTATTGTCAAAATTCTGATGTTATTATTAAGAAAAATAACTAAAAGTGTTTTTATTGTTAAATTATATTTGTTTAATCCTTTTTAGAACATTCAAATTGTTGATTAAATTTCATTTTCTTGCGTCAGCGCGCTACCATAAATTAGTATAGGAATTTTAGCGACTTTTTGCAGTGAAAAACACACTGATATGAAAATTCTTGCAAAAGTCAATTAATTATCGAATTTAAATTAAACTTTCAGAACTTATTCACAAGTGAATTAAATTATTTGAGAACCTTTTTTTTTAGAAAATCTTGTTGAAAACTATTTTCTTACCTTCCACTTATTTAATTTTATTAAATTTTGAGAAATTCATTTTTGTAGGGCTTATATATTAGCTATAAGCATAAATCCTTGAAGAACTTAAATCTTCAATTTGTTTTTGTTTTTTCTTTTTCTTTTTTGTAAAACAGGACCCTCAGTTAATGAAAATCTGCTCTGAATCGTAAAATAAAAATGCAATAAAACTAAAACATTATCTACTTCGAAAAGATTTAATTGATTTTATGAATAAGGTATATTATGAACACTATTGTCTTAAGGAAAATGTTTTTCGATGAATAATGAATGTTTACAAGAATTGTTTTACAAGTTGAATAATGTATTTTTATAAGAAGTGTTATGCGATATTCTTTTTTAATTAGAATAGTTTACAAACTTTTAAATCTTTTAAAATTCTGTATTCATTTGTAGCCGTTCGGTGATATTGTTATTAAGTAAATACTATATTTCGTAATCATAAATGAAAAAGCTTACGTTAATTTATTGACTCCCAGTATTTTAAAAAGAATTTTGATTTTTTTTCTGTATGTAGAAACGTTACATTTTTTTTAAAATATGGATGTCCATATACAACATTATCAGAAAATGAGAACGATAACTACTGTAAATTTAATACACTGACTTTCGAGAAATAACAAATCAATCTGCGAGAGAGTGGGCTATATGCATGTCCGATGTAAGAATTTAGTTCTATTTTTTATTATTATTAATGTGGAAGATGCAATCTCCCAGAGGGAGTAAAAATTCATTAAAGTTTTGATGATAAATGTATTCCAATTAAACCTTTTTAAAAAAATATATAGACTTTCCCATTATAAAAAAATGTACTTAATTTCCAGCCACATCTCTAAGTGATTCTAATTTATAAATAGAGACGTTCTTCAATTGCTTCCCTGCTAGTATCATCTGTGTGGCATGTCGGGTATGAGTCAAGCCGATCGTATTATTGAATGCATTTTTTGTTTCACATTTAGTTTGTAATGAAAGGAAAAGAGAGATATTTATACACACACACACACACACACACACACACACACACACACATATATATATATATATATATATATATATATATATATAATCGTTATATTTATTTTTTATGTTTATGTTTGTCAAATCTTTTTAATTACACAGCGGCCCTTTCAGTAAATTCCCTTCAGTTTCAGTTTCCCCCGCCCTATCTCTCTCCCCCAACCCTTTTTCTTTTCTTTTTCTCTCCCTCCCTCTTCTTCTGATCTTTAAGATTAGATCGTCTATTGTGTGTGTATGTCACCACAAAATGTATCCTTTCCGGTTACATCTTTAATGTATTAGACATCCGACAACATTCATATTTCTCTCATCAACTCACCTCTCTAAAACTCCTCTCTGTTAAGTTTTAATTTCCCACCTTCTCTCGTCTGTTACCTCTCTCTTTAGCTCTAACATTCGTCCCACACTCTCATACTTACACTCTCTCTAAATTCTATTTTTTATTTCCGGAGTTGTTTTTTCTGTTTTCTTTTTGAATTTGTAGGTCTGATGAATTGGATCGTATTTACGATTCCAATGGAATAAATTATGACCATGGAATATTAGTGTTTAAGCCTTTTTTATTATATATATATATATATATATATATATATATATATATATATATATATATATATATATATAAGATGCATGTTTCATTAAATAATATAGACAAGTTTTGTCTATTTATTTTAAGTTCCTTTCATATTGTCTGATAAGCTTAATAACATTATCATTGAAAAACGAAAAGGAAATCACAATATTGATACACGTTCAAATCTAATCTAAGCTTTCGGCTTACATAAGCCATTGTCAAAGATGACAATTACATTTTAACATATCAAACAGTACACGGACGAAACAATAATGATAGTCTGTTTTATTACATCAAAAATTTCAAAGCAACGACTAACTCGACTAGTTAGGTTTCAACCGTTTTATGTATAAAGCTTCATGAAATTTTAGTTTTTTATTGTTTTCATGTTTAAGTATAGTTGTGTTTTCAACGAGGATTTTCCGGAATTGTGTGTGCGGCCACGCATGTTGTTTTAAATGCCTAAAAATGCTACAGTTATCATTCAAATGTAGAATCAAGCGTCGTGAAAGCGGGTTTGTGGTGTGACCAACATAAATATTATTTAATCCATTACAGATACAATAACCCAAAGGGCACTTGAATTTGTAAACTATGTTGGTTTCATCTTTCAATGATAATGTTATTAAGCTTATCAGACAATATGAAAGGAAATTACTTAAAATAAATAGACAAAACTTGTCTATATTATTTAATGAAACATGCATTAATGAAAAAATGCTGCCTAAATATACACACTATATATATATGTGTGTGTGTGTGTGTGTGTGTGTGTGTGTGTGTGTGTGTGTGTGTGTGTGTGTTGGCCGAATACTCTTTTTCAGAGAACGATTAGTACTGTAAATTTAATACACTGAGTTTCGAGAAATAACAAATCAATCTGCGAGAGAGTGGGCTACATGCATGTCCGATGTAACATAATAGGGTGGCTAACTAATCCCCGTTGCAGATGCCAATTTAAGCACATTTGTGATTTTCAACACCCATCGAGTCCATTTGTGGCTTATACTGCAACTATCCTTAGTGGACTTTAGCTACAGTTTCGGAGAGGGAGTGCATAATCTAGTTTAAATCACCTGTTGAAACGAAACTGGTTCATTTTTTTCTCCTCTAACTTTCGTAGAGATTTCATCTACACGTGACAATCAACTCCCCTGATGAATGAATATAATCTCGCGAAATTAGGTTAGAAATAAGATAAGTGAAAATTTAATTTTATATATCTCTCTCTCTTTCTTTTTTTTCTCTCTCTCTCTCTCTTTCATTCTCTCTCTCTCTCTCTCTTTCTCTCTCTTTCATTCTCTCTCTTTTTTCTCTCGCTCTCTTTCATTGTATTTTTTCTTTATCATTCTCTTTCATTCTCTCTTTCTTTCTTTCTCTCTCTCTTTGATTCCCTCTCTCTTTCTCTCTCTTTCATTCTCTCTCTCTTTCTCTCTATCTCTTTCGTTCTCTCTCTCTCTTTCTTTCTCTCTCTCTCTCTCTCTCTCTTTCTGTCTCTCTTTCACTCTCTTTCATTCTCTCTTTCTTCCTCTTTCATTCTCTCTCTCTTTCATTCTTTCTCTTTCTTTCTTCCTCTCTCTCTTTCTCTCTCTTTCATTCTCTCTCTGTTTCCCTCTCTCTTTCTCTCTCTCTCTTTCAGCAGTGAGAGAGTATTATGACTGGGTGTCGAGAGAATTGTTGTTTTTTTTAACCTTGAAGGATACAGTAGCCAAGGTGACTTGGGTGTTGTACATAAGAACACCTTCAATCGAAGACCATCTGAACGGACCCAATTACCTGACCCCAAGATATTTGCAACTGGGTCCCACCTGCAAAATTATGCGCTGCTTTTATCAAAAGCTGTAACAATATTGCAGATATTTGTCGTTGATGAATATTGTTGGCAAAAACTTAGACTATTTTGTAACAGACTTGTATTTTTCCGACAGAAATTAAGTTGTCATATTTTTCGTGCCAAAAGAGACTACACAGACATCGAAATTTGAATTGTTAAATTTCTATTTGCTTTTTTGTTTTTTACGAAGGAGAGAGACTAAAAAAGGACGCTACATTTTCTAACACTTACAGAATAAATCAGTGAAACAATCTTAGTGTTTTTTGTTTTGTTTTTTTCCTCTGGAATTGTTAACTAAAAACATTAACAAAATATACTTTTAACCAATGATAAGTTAGAAGTAATTTCCTATATTTTAAGCGCAATTTAGAGTCGATTTCTTTTTTTATAAATTTCGATAAACTAAATTATCACGTCTTCGGTAAAATTTCGTACATTTTGCAACATTACCTATTCCATATGTTCAAAATCGTTCAGCTCTCTGTGGCATTTGTACAAATCTTCAATTTGATTTCCTTTTATGTCACCATTGTTTGAAATAACTCCACAATTAATTCACACGAATTTACCTATCTATATATTACGCTTCCTACGCAGCTACTGCTTATACATACGTACAGATTTTATCATTTAAATGCTATTTTAGCGGATACCCGTATTTAAGTAGACACCCCGTTTATTTATTAAACAGTATATTTATCATTTTCGTCTACCGAATATTCACGAAATATTTTCGGCCCGAATATTCACGAAATCTTATTAAAGAAATCATTCAGGCCGATAGGTGAAAATAAATAAATATACTGTTTAACAAGTAAGAGGTGCTTCTACTCAAATATGGGTTAAATATAACTTAAAATAGCGTTTAAAACGATAAAAATTTGTCGGATTAATTAATAAAAAATCCATTATTTCTTTAGAGATACGCCTATATACGTACAATAATCATCTTCCCGCGTATTAAAATTTTACATTGACCAAAGAAGGGAACTTTATGATCTCCCAATAATAGATACAAATGAAAAACAATTTGATATTTGGATCGTCACAGAAATTGGCGTTAATTTTCATGTCTCGTTTTGATATTTGTAAATATAGCGCTTTTTTTATATTTTAAAATATACATAAATTTGTTACATTTGTAGAAGTGTTTCAGCTTCTGTTTATCAACAACTTTATCCTTCTACAAATATTTGGATTCCATCTACAGGTTGACATGATGTGTATATTGGGCTTTCTATATTTCTATCCCAGCATCACTTTGTTGGCATGCTGCTCTCTAAATCAATAATAATAATAATAATAATGTGCCCGGTGCCACGTTCTCAGACTGGGTATCATGATCTTTATATTGGGATTCAGATATTTGTATAAGGCTCTTGAAGTGGAAATCTAAAAATGAAGACATCAATAATTTCAGTTGTGGTTGTGGCCCTGGGTTTGATTGAATGAACTCATTCAAGGGATTCCTGCCAGCCCGTGTCTTAAAGAAACACAGAACGCTCTTGAAGAATAAGAAGAAGAAGAAGAAGAAGAAGAAGAAGAAGAAGAAGAAGAAGAAGAAGGATGATGATGAACGGACACGGTTATTTCCATTCCTCAATGAAAGCAATGTCGTATTTTAAGAGGAAAGTCTTGATTATTTTCATTATCCATTTATTCTTATATTTTTCGTTGTTTATTATATTATTATTTTTAATAAATTTTTATGCATTTATAAATTTTAATTATTAAAATACGTATTTATTTATTTTATAAGATAAGTCATGGCATATATAGTTTTATTTCTAAAGTAAGCATTATTTAGCAAGTTTAATTTATTAAGAAAAATATCTCTTTAAGAATTATTATATTAAAAACATTTAATACATTGTATTTGTTAAATTGCTTATACATTGGCACGAATAATTCTACTCTATATTTAAGCGTAACATTTCTCTTCATTTTTATGAAAGAGAACGTAATTTTCGAAATTGTAGGAAAAGTAGTAATGTTTGTTTTCTTTATGTTTTCTCTGATTATTGGTTCAGTATCGTCGATTTCTTTTTCTATCATTTATCATTCAAACGTGTTTAACAACATTTACCTATAATTTTATTCCTTCATCCTTTTTTCATTTATTGATTGTAATGTAACATTTTTATGGACAAGGACGTATTTTCAAATTTTTAGGAAAAGCGTTTCGCGTCATAACGTTACCACATTTTACCTGTTTACTACTATTATTATTGGCCTCGAATTCTCATTTTCTTTCTATTAATTATCTTTCAAATATTTAAAAAAATGATCTCATATATTTGAAGATAATTTTATACTTTTATTAATTTTATTTACTTTTTGAATTCTATTATTATTATTTAAAGTAACAAGAATAATAATTCTTAAAGTGCTACATTTGATAACGAACTGCTTACTCCGACATCCAGTGTAAAATATATATGTGTGTGTGTTTATGTGAGCATATATATACTTATGGGAGATATAACTCGTCAGCCCGGCAGAAACAGCCAATTTAAGAAAAACAAAACACTAATTTTAAACATACGGTGAGTATCAGTCATACCCCATCATGGGAAAGGCTTCGGGAGTAAACCTTGAAGAAAAATCCGTAGTCGGAGTCTCTAAGACAGTCCGATGTAATGTTCAACTTCGTTCTGGCAACTCATGCGACGACGACGCCGGGGCCAGGCTATATTGAACTCTACTTTTCTCTTAGATCAGTGGCGTGGAGTGGAGATACATGCTACATGGGCAACCGCTGATCTCATAAAAACCTGCCTATGCCTGAGCCCTCGTGAGGATACTCCAGTGTCGGGTCATCGGAAAGACAAAACACGGGAAGTAACAGTCTATTGGTGGGGGGTGGATTTCGAAGATTTTTTTGTACGGAGAAGCGGCCACCGACAAGAGGGACGTCTACAAAAGTGACATGAGGGCAATGGACATGGACACCGAGAGGATGGAAGATGTTGCTAACTTTCGTTCACGCTGGAAACGTGATTTACACCGATGGCTGGAGCGAGAAGAGATAAAATCGTGGGCTTGCCGCCGGTGTAAAGCGTACTCGAAGGAAAACAACACGGCAACATTGGGAAAAACGTCTTCACATGCATTCGTTACAATCGAGACTGTCACTCCTGTGTGGGCTGTACGGCCATAACAGATGCTGCACCGCCATCAGTAGATAAGTTTGGGGGCGCAGATTCATGGGGTCTCTCGAGACCGACGGATGCCACACATTATATACAACTAAACAATTAATTATATAATAATAATAATAATAATAATAATAATATATGCATAAATAAAAATCCCTGTGGCCTATAAATATCAGGGTGTTATCCGGTGGAGAAGAGCAGTGTCTCATGGGCAGGAGGAGCATTTTTGGTCGACAGTCGTCCTAGAGGTGGTATCTTAAACAAAAATTACCCCTTGGCGATTAAGCATAAAACGCAAAACAAATCCAAATCTTAATGTTTACAAACAAAATCTCACACCGGGTTAGTCATCACGCGAGCAAACAAGGGTTGTGTCCTTCAGAGAGGAACCAGTCTGGGGTCGAAAATTCTGTCACTGGAACGAACTTTTCCACCAACAATGAGACACCTCGTCACCAAAACCGGATTAAGTCCAACATTGGACCTGGTGAATAAATTAATAAAAAGAAAGACAAATGAAATGGAATCGTGAAGAGTATAAAGAAGTCATGGTATCTTTTTTCACTACATGCGCAAATCCACAAAAGAAAATCACGGATCATACATACCAAATATGGAAAGATATGACAAGAACTAAAACAAGAGCCTATCTCGACCCAAATATGCTTGTCAATGTCCGCAAGGTCATCATTCAAAATTAAAAAAAAAAAAGACTCTGAGGCAAGAGTGTAAATAGACAACATGACAAAAGATGAGATAGAAACTAAAATAAATGCGATACGAAACAATGACCTTTCAGGAAATAAAACGGAAGAATTTAGCTGCGACATAAACAATTGCTCTGATTCCAATTCTGTCACTGATGAAGATGAATCAAACGACATTAGAGCAGAATTGAAATCACTGAAGCGAAAAACCACATCATTCAAATACTCAGCAAAGTAACTCGTACACAAATGTTGGAAAGAGGCCGATTTCCAAAAGTTCATATGACAAAGTCCAATAAACATACTGTGTAAACATATAAAGCTGCATTGCAAACATTGTTAACAGACAGACCACTAGAAAACATTGTTAACAGACAGACCACTAGAAAACATTGTTAACAGACAGACCACTAGAAAACATTACAGAAGTTAATAATGTCATATATGCAACGGCTTTAGCAGATTATTGAAAAACTAAATATCAAGACTAATAAAAGATTAAACAACAAACAAAAAAGTCCACTTGGAAGACAAAATTAAAACGAGAAATCAGAAGTGAATTATCGATACTAGATGAGATTTCAAGATATTCAAATGTTTCAACACGAAAAAGCAAAAAGATTAAGCGGAAATATAAAATGAAAGCAGCAAATGAGATTCCACCAATCAAAGAAATACTTAAACAGAAACTGCAATTAACGGCACAAAGAACAAGACGGTATGAAAAGTATTGACGGCGTTCTATCGACAAAACAGGAGTTTCCAAACGGACATCAAGAAATTTTACGAGGAAATTGGAAAAGCAGTTATAGAAGTCAAAATATTTGGAACAACCAAAAGGAATAAAATTCAAAATGAGAACAAGGAAGAATGAACAATAAACCTGTACAAGAATGGAAAAATATAACAAATAATAATTTTAAGCAAACTTTAACAAAATTT